AGAAGATTATTTATCATTCATATGATCCCTCTCCCTCTCCTGGACATGCTCCTCTCCTGCTGTCCTTGCTTCTCCCCCCTCCCCCCCTCCTTCAAGTCCAAAAAGAAGGAGGTAATAGCAGTTATAGATCTCAGGATAACTCGGGAAAAGGAGCAGCCTCTGACTCCCCTCCCCTGGCATCTGGTAACAACTTCCAGATGAGTAGCAGTGCTAGCCCATTATTCTACTATTGATATAAGGAAGCTTCTGTCCTGGGTCTAAGCGGTTTTATGGTCTTAAAGATGCTGGCATTTTTTAGTGAGTTTTTAAAATTATAAAGTAGTTTTTAGTATAAACAGTTTTAATACATTTAAAACATTGTTGTGATGGGTGGTTTTGCCCATAAAGAGTTGCTTATAATTTTTTTTAGGAATAGAGGAAAATAAAATAAAGAAAAGCAGGTATGCTTTGACACTGTAAGGCCTATGACAGATTTATTGTACTCTGAACTCACCAGCTTCTCCTGCATCTAGCTCTGCTGCCACTGAGACTCGTTTAAAAAGATAAGATTAGCAGGTTTCTTTTGTACATGTGTGTGTGTGTGTGTGTTTTAAATGAAATGAAATTGTGTGAGGCTCAGCTACTGTACTGTATTACAGCTCCCATGAGTAGAAATCAAAGATTGGGGTTACACATGATGCTAAGTCAAAATATGTTATATGAAAGTTACCCATGGTTTATGGCATAGTGTCTATGAAGCCATTCACAAAGTGTGAATAAGCAAGGTTTGGCTTGATGTGCTATGTGAACAGAGTCACAATCAATTGGGCAATGCATATTTTTATCATTGGGGTGGATAATGAGCAGTGAGGAAAACTGGCACTGGATGCAATGAGGCCTGTCTTCTCATTTTTTTAAAGGCAGTTGCAGGGCAGTTCATCTTATCCATCTGTACTTAAGCCTGAAAGGTCCTTCTCCAGAATGAGATGTTGGTGGCCAGGTGACCACAGAGACTGTTTGTGCTCAACTGATCATGCAATATAGGAACAATAGGATGTTAAAAGAAGATGGCAAAAGCAGAATGGCATGACACCATCATTTTCAATCTGCCTTGACTTTACAGGTAGTCCTCGACTTCTGACCATTTGTTTAACGGCTGTTCGAAGTTACGACAGTGCTGAAAAAAGTGTCTTATGATCAGTCCTCACACTTCTGACCCTTGTAGCACCCCTGCAGTCACTTGATCAAAATTCAGGCCCTTGGCAAACAGCATGTATCTACGACGGTTGCAGTTTCCTGTGGTCACATGATCACCAGGAGGCTTCTGACAAGCAAAGTCAATGGGGGAAGCCAGATTCACTCAACAACTGGGTGCAACTCACTTAATGACCACATTGCTTAATGACAGAAGTTCCAGTTCCAATTGTGGTCTTAAGTTGATGACTACCTGTAGTGTTTTCAATTGTTTTGTTTTGTTTTGTTCTTTAAATCTGTAGGGAATAAAAAGGGCTTTGATGGACAGAAACAAGCAAGAACAAGTATGTTTCCAAAAAAATCCCAAAAGTATTAATTAGATTTATAGTGATGCAAGATGGTATTGTTCTTTGTTTGTCATGCCTGCTCTAAAATCAGAAATGCATGGAGGAAAATACAAAGCTGTAATGAGCATTAGGAATTACAATGATTTCTTTTTCAACAATATAGCAGCTAAAGAGGTGGGACTCTACATTCATGATTAAAATACACCTGCAGGAAATCTTTTGGATTGCATCCAGAATGTTCATTTTTCTCCAGCAGCAGTACAATCACTTTGGATCTTTTACAGCAAACCCTGCAACAAATCCAGTTGTCTATTTTGTTGTCCCCACATCTACACCAACAGCACAATCACAGGCCCCAACAAGTACACACACAAGAGTAGAGATGCCTTCCTCTCATATGCTATATGCCATCATCTGCCAGCAATGTCTCTCTGAATTCAACGTAGGACAAATGGGACAAACTTTGTGCAAAAGAATTAATGCATACAATGGTCAAAAGTTTGACACCAGGCCTCAAGGCACAGACAAAATGACATCAGAGCATTTTAACCTTCCAGGACACTCTGTTGCAGACCTAAAAGTGACTGTTTTAGAAAAGCTGGACTTTAACAGCACCATTGAGTGAGAAATTGCTGAGCAATTTCAGCAGTAGGTTTCAGGCACTTTCAGATGGTCTCAACAAATACAATGGGTTTAACACATTAATGATAAGATATTTACAGTCTATCTTAAATGTGAATCAACCTGACTTTCTTTCTCTTCCCCCCCACCTCATCCCAATTTAAATCCTACATCACTTTAGCCACACTATGCATCTGTGGAAGTGTATACCTTTTAATACAATTTGTTAGTTGGGAAAGGTGTCACCAGACTCCTTCTGATTTTTTGCCATCATAGACTAACATGGCTATCCTCCTGCAAAGCAAACCCATAGTAACGTTGGCTGCATCCACGTTGGTGGCAGGTCACAGGACTGAGCTTCGTCTCTGAGGTGGGTCTGACTCAATGACTGTACTCTATGGGCAAGTGCCTTCCAATTCAACATGTCTCTAGTTATAATCTCCAGTTACTCCAGGAACGTTCCAGTGATATTCTTGATCCCATTCATCCCCCTTGTTTGCTATCTTCACCTTATTCTATTTCCCTCACTGTTGCAAGAATAGTAATTTTTTTTAGTTCATCACCTGCTTGCATCACGTGCCCAAATGTATGTGACTTTGCTGATCATTGCCTCAAGAGCAGTCAGCCTTTATTTGTTCAAGGACTGACCAGCAGTCCATGATATTCTTAGAAACCATCTCCAAATCCATAATTCACAGATATTTGTTTTCTTTCTTTTGTTCTTTTTCAGCATCCTGCTTTCACAGCCATGCATTACCACTAAGAAAGCCTTGCTTTAACTATTCCTATCTTTGTCAGTATAGACACAGTCTGATCCTTGATGATCTTATCTAAGTTTGTCACTGCCTACCTCCCTAGGATTAATCTCTTGACTTCCCTAGCATGCTGTCCATTTTTACCCATTCTTGAACTCAAGAAAGTCATCCACTGTGCATTTATTAAGCACACAGATTGGCATTACCTTTGTCTTTTTAATATTTAACTCTTTTCACTTTCCATTTTTACTTTTCTAATGAGCTCTTTTGAGCCTTATATATTTTCATCTGACAAAGTATTGTCATCTCCATATCTGACATGTGTAGCCTTTTAGTCTTCAATTTTGATTTCAGCTACCATTTCTTCTGATATTGCAACTTGTATTGTATATTTGCTGTGCAGGTTAGACAGACATGGGCTCAGTGTGCATCTTTGACTCACTACTTTTCTTATTCTGAATAGTTCTATTTCTCCAAACTTAAGTTTTACAGTAACTTCTAGTTCATTGTGAAATCTTCCTCAGAAGAATAATCAGCTATTTTGGTATGCTCAGTAACCATAATATACATTCTGGCATGATATACAGAATTAAAAACTTTGGTATACTCTGAAAAGCAAAGATGAACGAATAGCATGTAAAACCAAACCCCCAAACCATGAGTTGGCTTTGGACTTTCCCTTGGGTTCAGTGTTGAATAATCAACAGCAGTGAAAGGGAAAGGCTGAGAAGAGAACGGGAAAGTTGTTGCTTGGATGCCCTCTTTGGAATCATGTTTAAGAATGAAAAAGTAGAACAGAAATGTTATAATGAATAAATACAAAACTGGGATAAGAGGCAGCCCAGATTGAAATATACTGCACTATTGACATTAGCTGTTGGAGGTAGATATGTAGGTAGGTAGGGGTGGGGTGGGGTGAAAATATATGAGTCCTATATTTCATCCACTTATCTCAAATGTCTCTTCTTCCTTCTTATTGTTTTCTAGGTTCTTGTTCTTTTCCTTTGGTCTCTATCCTGAAAGCCCCTCAAAGGGGAAGGAGTGCCAGGGTGATGACATTATCTTTCTTATTCCTGCTGGCATCCTGAGAAAGAATAGACATAAAGTGGGGAGGGGGGTTCCAGAGGTTGACAGTGAATTTTCTGATGGGTTGTACGCAGAGCCTTTCAGGATTTCAGAAATCCCAAGTACAATTCAGTATTTGAAATGGATCAGTGCTCAGCTAGGTGATAGCTCCTAATGAACTTTGCCAGATCCTGAAAAGCTAAGCACAGCCAGATCCAGTTTGTATTGGATGGAGGCGCATCAAGAAATATCAGGGTTAAAGGATAATCTGGGAAGCTGAAAAAATCATGCCAAAAAGTGACAGTGGCAAATCTGTTTTGTATTGCCACCAAGCAAAACACAAGTCCCCAGAGTCACAAGGAGAGTTGACCCTTACTAATGCATGAATATTGTTCTCTTGAGGCAGTAAAACAAAGACATTAAAAATGATTCTGAGAGTTATTTCAGCATTCTGGGTTTCTACACATGCTCTTGTTTATTGGGTCATTGATTTCAGTGGACAAAAACAATGGAAAAAAAGATATGGGATACCAAGGGAGAAACACAAGGGAGGGCAGGAACCTCAAATAAACATTCTCCATCCAGGTCTTTCAAAAATTCAGCAGATAGCACCTGGAGCAAAGATTACACAACTACCAAGGCTAGCAGCAGTATTACATCCAGCAGTTGCTAGAATCCACCACTCTCATTTGTTAGGATAAATGGATTCAGCTACAAACAAATAACAAGAGAAAAAAGAATGGATGATAAAATGCATTTTGTATTTTTAATCTAATATGTCTAGAGGGTGGCAGGCTGGAAAAAACTAATATAGCCTGATTTTAGTATATGCACTGTTATCTGTTTTTGCAATTCTGGTTGTTGATCATGACCTAGTTTTGTTATTGGCTAATAGGGCCCAGCAAAGAATTTGGGAGGACTCTTTTGCCATTTGGGTTGTGTAACAAAATATGGTAAAGAACATTTTGTGCATCTACATAGAGTGGGAGTGCAAAATCATCTCCCTTCCTGATTCTTAATGGCTTTTCTTCTCTTCTAGGCCTCTAATCCTGGCTTCCGTGGGGAAAATGTAATCAACATAAACCATTATGCTACCAAGAAAAGTGTGGCAGAGAGCATGCTGGATGTGGCCCTATTTATGGCCAATGCTGCACAGCTGAAGGCAGTGCTGGAACAGGGACCTTCGTTCCACTATTACGCAGCTCTGATAGCTCTCATCAGCATTTCTCTCTTCTTCCAGATGGCCATTGGCATTCTCCTTATTGTGATGGGTAAGACTGTTTTTGCAGACCTGTTCAATCTCCTGTGAGGCAGTAAGGAGGGCATTCCTGTTCTTTGTTTAAACATACAGTTGAATTGTTTGAGTCATTTACTTCATTAACAGGAATAGCTAATGCATGTGAACAGTGCCAGGCACGAATGGCAAAACTAGCCCCTTGAATTACCCAAGACCAGCCTTTTCCAATGCGGTGCCCTTCAGAAGTGCTAGCACTGCTTACTAGCTGGGGATTCTGAGAGCTGTAGTTTCAACATGATCAACAGTCATACATGCAAGTTCAGGTCCAGCTTCTTTGGTGAGTACCAGATTACGGAAAGCATACTTAGAAGAACTAATGGTTGAGAAAACTGGTTGGCAGATGATTTCTCTTAGATACAGCTCACTTTATCATCTTTTAGTCTTCCAAACATTTTTATTTTTTTGGTCTTTATTTAATTAACCAGACAAGCCAATAAAGCAATAGCAAAAAAAAAAAAAAAAGAGGGGGGAAAGGAGCAAAACTACAACAGCAAAAATTATATATGTAAGGGATTCTCATACATGTATACAGTATATGAATATAACATTTTAATATCAGTTTCAATGAAGGATGCCATATTCATTATAACCATCCATATATAATCTACAGCTATAAACAACTTGTTCATAAATTGCAAGTAACTTCAGCTCTTCAGTCCATTGAGTGATGTCATCCCACTGTTGAAAAACTTAGCAATAAGAAAGGCCATGGGGAATTAATTTCTGTTGTCCAGCCATCAATTTTGTATAATGGGTAGTTCATTCAAAAGAATATAAATGTCCAGATATATTAAGTCTTGTCTCAAAAAAAAAAAAATGCAATTACTTCTCCCTAGAACGTAATAATTTTAGGGCATTGAAAATACATGTATTAATGAAACTTACTCTAATATTAGTATATTAGTAATATTAGTGTGTGTGTGTGTGTGTGTGTGTGTGTGTATAT